TGAGGTAGAAGATGTTTTTGTGATCGTGTTTAGAAAGTTAAATCTACTATTTACACTTTGACCCACCAATTAAGTTTTTAGAAATTCTTTCTATTACTAAGCTTTAAAAATGGGAGCAAAATGTATGACCAAGGGTATTCATTACTAAGAAAAAGTTGGGGTTTTTTGTTTTGTTTTGTTTTTTGAGACAAGGTCTCACTGTGTAGTTCAGGCTGGTCGTAAACTCACTATGTAGCCCAGGCTGGCCTTGCACTTGTGGCAATCCTCCCACCTCAACCTCCCGCGGGCTGGGATTACAGGTCTGTACCACTACAGCCAACTCCTGAAATGTTAATAGTAAGACTAGATTAATCTAAATGTCCATCAGTAGAGAAGGGTTAAATAATACAATTTATTTATGGCCATATGATGGACAGTGGTGTGCCTGTTTAAAATTAACAGCTGTGTGTACTGATATTTGAAAGAGCTCCAAGATATACATACTTTCAAATAAAAAAGAAGGATGCAGAGCACCTCTAAAAAGTTGTCCAAGGAAGGAAATATTTCTATAACCCTTTTACAATAAACCCATGGAAGTCATATTTGAAATTTAGCCCACATACATGTTGGGCTTTTGAGGCCACACAGAGAGGAAGTCCTGCTGCTGCTTACTTCCAGTATTCCCAGTTCTGCTCAAACTGAAGTGCAAATCCTGCTCTCCTGGGAAGGCGGCATGGACATCCACACCTTGCAGTTCTTCCCACTGCTCATGTCCACATGATAATGTGGCTTTTGGAACCAGGCATCATAGGCTTAAAATTTCCCTTTATTCATATTAACTACTGAATCTTTTTTTTGGCACCAGGGATCCAACTCGGGACCTTCCACTTGCGAGGCAGGCGGCAGCACCACTGAGCTAAATCCCTGGCCCTTAACTACCGAATCTTGATAAGATAGTCCATCTCTCCAAGTCTCTGCTTTCTCACTTCTAAAATGGGGCCATAATGATACCTACTTCTTAGAAATAACAGCTTCTAAGTATACACAGACCTGAATTTTTATATATACCTTGTGTTCTCTAATCCTGCTAAATTCAAATACAAGTTCTAGGGGCTCCTAGAGATTTCTTAGTATTTTCTCTGTAGATGATCATTTCATCTACATATAAAGATTTTGCTTCTGCCGTGCCAATCCTATCCTAGTTGTGTCATTTTATTGCCAGACTATTTTGGTGGGGACTAGGTTTCAAAGTTTAATGGACAGATAAAGAGTAAGCATATCTGCCCTTGTTCCCCACCTTAAGGAGAAAGCATTGTATCTTCTCCATTCATACAAGGCATTCTCGCTGGAAGTATGGAGTACATGCCTTTAATCTGTTGAGATGGTTCTGTTCTACTTCTAGTCTCCTGATAGCTTTTACCATGAACAGCTGTAGAATTTAGTCCAATACTTTCTCTCCAACTACTGACAGGATTATATGGCTTTTTCCTTTCCTCTGTTAAAATGATGACTTTTGCGGGTGGATCTTCCAATGCTGAACCAACACTGCCATCCCTATAATAAAACCACTTTCTACATCCTGCCAGATCTGACTTGTAATAGTTTGTTTTGTTAAACAAATTTCTATCTATGTTCGTACTTTTTTCTTCTATTATCTTTATCCAGTTTTAGGATTAGCACAATGTTGAGTTCCTAAAATGAAGGGAGACATGTTCCTTTATTTTTCTGCTTTAAATGTTTGATAAAATTTATCAGTTAAAATATATACAAGCCTCGGACTGGAGATTTAGCTCAGTGGTTCTGCTGCCTGCCTCGCAAGCTCAAGGACCCGAGTTCGATCCCTGGTACCAAAAAAAAAAAAATGTATATGAGCCTGTTATTGTCATATAGGTAGGTTTACAAGCTAGGAATATACTTTCTTTAATAGGTACTATTCAAATTTTATATTTCCTCCAGAGTTAGTTTCATTAATTTGTCTTCCAAGGTACTTCTTAGAAATTGTCAAGTTAATTTCAAAACAGATTTTTGAAATATGCTTTCTATATCCTTTTAAATTCTGTAAAATCTGTGGTAATGTCTCCTAGATCTTGATATTGTAATTTAAAAAATGTATAATTGATATTGTGTAACAGGAAGAAAAGGTCTAAAGGAGCAGGGGAAGTGGGAGGGGTAGCGGGAAGGAAAGATGGGACAAGAAAAAATATGAGAAAAGGAAAAAAATGGAAACAAAATCTTTGCAAATGGGGAAAGGTGGAGGGGGTGAAGGGAGGGCAAGGGAAGGGGAAAAAAAAATAAGAACCAAGATACATCATGTAAAGGTACAAGATCCCAATGATGAATGTAACTATATTTTATACCTAAAATGTACCAATAAAGTTAATGGGAAAAAAAAAGAAATAACAGGTTTTAAAAAAGATGAGTAGAGCCCTTCGTACAGTGCCCAGTACCAAAGTAGTGGCCTTTAGGATTTCAACCATTGTCACATCACCCTAACCAAATCCAACCAAGAGAGTGTAGGCATCTGTTAGGATTTGGATCTAATATGTCCCCCCAAAGTCTCAAAGGTTCAGAGGGGGGTCTGCTTGGAGTAGATGGGTCACTGGGGCTGTGGCCTAAAAGGGTATATCTTTGTTCCTGGCTTCTGTCTTCTTGCTCTGCCTCCTGGCTGCATGAATAAGCAGCTTTCCTCCACGATGCCCTTCCACCACGATGTTTTTGACTTGGATCCATGGACTGAAACACCGGAACCATGAGCTGAATCAAACTTCCTGTCCTTTAAGTTGTGGTTCTATGATAGCATGTCTTGAGAATGGGAAAGCCAATATAGCATCAAAGCAAGAACCCGCAGGGACTTGGGGCTTTCAGCTGCTTTGGTACGATGACTTCAGTGTAGATTAAAAGTGCCAAACCACATGGAGTAGAGACCTACCACCTCCCTACCCATCAGCTGTGTGACACAGGCTCTGGCCAGGACCAGCATGCCCTGGGGCTCTAACCCTGGCTAAATCCATCTACCTACAGAGCTCTTCCAAAGGAAGAGAGTCTTCCAAAGACTCTCCCAAGCCTCAGAAAGAATTGATACACTGAACGGTGTAAATATCTGCCTTTTTTTTCTTTTTTGGTTTGTTGAGACAGGTCTCACTGTGTAGCCTAGACTGGCCTTGAACACTTGGTGATCCTCCTGCCTCAGTCTCCTGAGTGCTGGAATTACAAGTGTGTGCCACCACACCCAGGTGTCTTTTTTTAATAGTAAAAAATATAAATATATGCATGTTTCTGCCCTCTCCATGCATCCTCCACACCCAAAACCATTAGGGAAGACTCCAGTTTGCAGTGGTTCCATCCCTCTCTCCCTTCCAAGATTCTTTCCATTAATGTAATGGAGAGGTAAGAAGTGTCAACGTCCTCCAGCCAGAGACCACCAGGAACACACATGTAGGTGAACAAACTGGGGTTGCTACTTGGTACAGCAAGGGAGAACAATCCTCGGGGAACCACGGGCACTTAGGAAAAGGGCGTTAGAGAAGACTTGCAGGATTTGGGCTCACGTTAGTGATTTTCAAGAGGGTTAGAGAAGCGGGACTTTTCTCTACGGGCTGCAAAGGAAGCAAGAGTAATTCAATGGGGTTAATAAGGAACAACTAGAAGAAGGCTAAAGCTGCAGCAAGTAAAGAAGCAGAAGTTACTCAGATGAGGATGGAAAACGAGTGTTTGTGTTTGTGACTTGGACAATGTTTGTGTTTGTGTCTATCGGACATGGCTGCACAGGGCTTTTCCTCTTGTCTCGACCCACGGTGGTTACAGAATGACTTCGTGTGGATGTCTCAGTGCGAGAAGGCTGGTGTACAACAGGAAAACACTAAGGTGTAGCAACACCAAAAGCTTGCTGGCATTGAGACCAACTTCCAGACCCTGGGAGCTGCTTTGCTCTCTTGGACAGGAAGAGTCTAAGAGAGAATGGGGGATAGGACCTCAGTTTTCTGAGGACTCGGGTAGAGATTTGATGTAATACATTAAAAACAAGTAAGGGAACAAGCGGGTAGAGTGGGTTAATAAGAACTGCCATGGACAGTGTGTCTCCATCATGGTTTTCAGAAACTGTAAGTGGGCCGGGATTTAGCTCAGTGGTTTCGCCGCCTGCTGCGCAAACGCAAGGACCTGAGTTCCATCCCCCGTACAAAAAAAAAAAAAAAAAAAAAAAGCTGTAAGTAAAAAACTGGAGCATTTTTTAAATGACTTTTTGGTAGCGGCGCTGCGTTCCGCCTGTTGTGATAGTATACTGAGATCTAAAGCTAAGAGGTTCCCGGCCACTGCCTCAGAGCCGAGGCCCAGCTCCAGTTGAAGCTGCAGCCGAGTCAGGATGGAGTCTGAAGGAGCAGGCCTGAGGCTGGGCCGGCAGCGCAGGAGCCAGGCTCGGCCCCTGTGGCCTCCCCGCCCGACAGACCCAGATGGTTCCTCAGGTGCAGTCTCCAGAAGGGGCAGCCGAGACAACGGCGGCAGGGCGAGGCAGGGGACCCCGATCCCGGGAATGGGACACTCTCGGCAGACTGGGCGTGCGTGGGGTCGTTTCGAGAAGACAGGGCAGGGAGCTTGGTTCATTGTGGGGGCTCTGGGTCGTGAAGGCCTTGAGCGCCAGTCTCCAGCCCTAGAGGGTGCGACCCTGTTTAGCGCCCAAAGAACGCTGAGGGGTCTCCAGGCCGGCAGGGCCTGTACTGGGGAGTTGGAGAAATGGGAGAGAGGAGAACGCGAGCCAGAAGCCCGCGGCGAGTCCAGGATGGGACCAGCTTTGGAAACAGGGCTTCTGAAGGCAGAGCGGGCCTCGGGGCTGGGGCCATCGAGCCATCCCGGGCGGATGGGGGAGCAAGCCCTGGGGCGCCCCGGAGGAAGGGGTCGGGGAGGGGACGTGCGGGAGGCCTGTGCCCCGGGGAACACACCGTCCGCCCTCCCAGTCCACACTCCCCGTCCGGAGCACACCGCGAGCCTGCGCTAGGAAGGGGCGGCGGCTCCGGGCAGCGCCTCTCCGCGCTCCCGCCCCCTCGGCCGGACTTGGCGCCTCCCCTGCGGCGGCAGCGGCCGGTCCGGAGCTGGGGTCGGGAGCCCGAGCCCGGGTTCTGATGTTACCGCGCCTCGGACCGGAGCGCAGGTGCGCGGGGAGCAGGCTCAGGGCGGGGGGCGGCGGCTGCGCGGTTCCTTCCGGGGGCCGACTCGGCGTCGGGTCCGGTGCGGGATCCACCTGGGCCCTGCGCGCCTCCACCGAACTGCAGGGCTTCCGGAGGAGCCGGACGCGCCCGCTGGCGGGGCTGGGGGCGCCCCGAGTCCTTTGGTCGGAGCAGCTGGAGGATCCAAGTCTCTCCTGGCCGGGATCGTGCGGGTCCCTGCCCGCACCCCAGCCTCCTCCTCCGACGGGAACCCAAGGAGAAAGGCCGAGAAACGCGCTCAGCGGCCCTCGGCTCCAAGTCTCGCCGCTCCGCGCGACTCTGTCGCCCCCTGCGGTTGCCAGGCCCGTGCCTCGGCTCCAGAGCCTGAAGTACCGGCTGCGCTGCCGTGTGCGCGCGGCCTGGCCGCCTCTCCCCAGGTGCCGCCAGCCAGGTGGACCTCTCAGAGGAGGTGACTGTCCTCCTAGGAGCTGAAGTCATTTCCAAGGCTGAGAGTGAGAACCAGCATGTAGGGCCGGCCTGACGGGTGTGGAGCCCAGTCAGACCTAGCATGGGTGCCCGGAGTCAGGACAGCCCCAGGCCCAGGAGCCCAGCCCGGCAGGGAGATGGAGTTTGTTCCCAGGCCCCACAGCCAGCCAAGTACTGCGGGAAGACCAGCTAGGAGGGGCTGGCCGGGACAAGCCCTTCGCAGAGAGGTCAGATGGAGGTGGCCTTTGAGAGAGTTTTTTCATTCCTGGCCCGTCGTCGTGGCATTTGAGGCTGGCCCTTCTCCTGACCCGCTCTGGTTACCTTGGATTTGTTCCATTGCCTCCCCCTTCTCCAGTGGAACTGTCTCCACCTCTAACTGAAATCCTGGGTCTGCCTGGGGCCTGGTCCACCCTCTACAGATCTCCAGATCCAGATGCCTGCCACGGCCAGACTTGCCATAGACGTGGAAAAGCGTGTGGGCCCCAGACTGGAGAGACTGGACTCCTTGGCTAGTCCCTAACCCCTGCCTCCTCCTTCCAGACAAGGCTTCCACCCGCCAGGCCCTCACTCTGAACGCTGAACTCACCTTTGTCCTCTCTTATTCTTTTGGTCCTTCGTCAGGTATACATGGAATGCCCCCAAGCCTTAGACTAGTGGTTTGCTTGCAGGGATTCTGTTCTGCCCCACCTGCTTTGGTGAGGCTTGGTCAAATGCCTGGGCACCTCTGGACTTTGGTTCTGCAGCTGACACTGACATTAATACTGAGGCTGGAGCCCCTAGGACAGGGCGCCCCTCAGCCACAGGCACTGGCTGGACTATGCGAGGCCCCCTGTAGCCAGAAAAGGGTGAAAACTCCTTGCTGTTGTGCTGAGGCCCCCAAACACACACTCGAGCAGCTGCAGCCTAGCACATCTCAGTCTCTACACAGGAAACAGTGAGAGCATACTGTGTGGACATCCAGCTGCTAAGGCCACCAATGCAAAAGCATCCTTGGAACAAGTTAGCTGTTAAGAAAACATGTGTACACATTTTGGTTGCCCATTCAGGCTGTTTTTATTTGATGAATTCAGAATCCTTAGTTAACACAGTACCTTCCAGATAAGATAGATGCTCACAGCCTCTTTTGAGGGCGTCTCTCTATTTGATCACCCTTACCTGTGTGTGGCAGGTCAACATGGGCAGGTGTAGGTGGCATGAGCTGGTAATGGTCTGGGCTTAGAAGGACTAGGAAGAGAGAGCGCTGGCATCTGAGAGCCAGGTGGACTTCTTGGAGAGGTGACTGTCCTCCTAGGAGCCGCCACTTAGCCTCTTTCCTCCTGAAGTCTACAGAATGGAAACACTTTGCAGAACACATCGCCAAGGTGGAGTGTGAGGACCAACCCGCAGGGCTGGGCTTAGTGGGCATGAGGATGCCCATAGTAGGTGGCAACAAGATGTCCTGGTGCAGGTCTGCTGAGGTCCTGGGAATGTTGCCGATCTGCCTCTCCCTTTTAGGGAACACTTCTTCTTCGTACTAGTAACCCCTTCTCTACCCTGACCAACAATCTGTAGCATGCTGGGCCTCAAGGAGGTGGATGGAGGGTGACTGAACTCTAAATAGCACCCGGGGACTCAAATGACCCAGCATCAGGCCACCTACTCTGTGGTCCCCACCATGCAGTGCCAGAAAGGCAAGCGCCCCCATCATTCACTGGGACCCCCAGACGCCCAGGCCTCAGAGCTGCCCTAACCCCACGCAGGCACACCCACCAGCTCTTCCCCTGGCTCCCTGCTGCCCTGGGGAGGTATCAATTTCCAGCCACTACTGCTCTGCCTGCCCGCCCGATTGTCCCTAATAATGGATGAGCAACCTGGTCAGCGTCCCTGGGTCCCTGGTGGCAAGCACCTCCCCCGTGCTGCCTCCTTCCCCAGAAAAGACCGATAGGAAGGACAGAAGCTAAGGAGCACTCTTTCTTCTCTACCAAGGCCACCTCTAACCTACTCCCTGCACATCTGTTCCTTCCCTTGCCAACCAACAAATATTTATTTAACATCGACCGACTGCATGCCAGGCACTGTGTGGCAAACAGGGCAGAGCTTGTCCTCAGGAAGCTCAGGGCGGGGGTGGAAGAGGGCGTAACAGGCAGGCAGACAGTTACAGCGCAGGGTGATGAGTGACAGGAGAGCAGAAGCACGTGGGGATCCCACAAGGTCAGGAGATCTTCCAGCTGAGCCCTATAGGAGGAGCAAAAGAAACAGGCCACTGAGGGGCTGAGGTCACCAGGCCATCCCCAGACACAGGGCGGAATTGCAGCAGCAGGGAGCACATTGTTCAGGAGTCTGCCAATAGTTTGGGCCTTGCTGGAACATTCTGGCCTTGGGGGAGGGGTGCGGCAAACTGGCTTCTGCAGGGTTTGCCCCTGGGAACCTATTCTGTTTGTTTGGCTTTTTTTTTTTTTCTGGTGCCAGGAATCGAACTCAGGACCTTGCACTTGCCAGGCAGGCGTGGTGCCAATGAGCTACATCCCCGGCCCCGGAAATCTATTCTGGCTGCGTGAACTTGGAGGCATTCCCAGATCCCAGCCAGAGCTCTGCCACCTACCAGCTGTGTGGCCCGGCGCATGTTTCCCTCTCAGATCCTCAGGGTCTTCATCTGTAAAATGCAAGACTGCAGATCGCAGTTGTGGGGATCAAGACGAATATTTATATGAAGCCCCTAGAACACAACAGAGGGAGGGAGGCTGTGAAGCTCCCTCTGGCCCCTGACCTGGTCCCCAACCCTTCCTGGCTCCTCTGTGATCTCAGAACATCTGGGTCATTGTTCATCAGGGAAAGACCACATGGAGGAGCTTGAAGAGTGGCCAGGAAGCAGCTTGGGTGGGTGGCACTGTGGGTCTGGTCTCAGCCCCTCAGGGACCAGGTAAAGTCCACAGCAAGGGGCGCCCCAGGAGGCCGTGGGCTGGCTGCCAGCTCCTTTCTCTAAGGGGCTGTCAACCTTGAGCTGCTCCCTGGGACTGGTCCTAGTGCCTCTGCCATCTTTGATGCCCCTCTGGGAGGGGTAGGGACCGCATGACCTGGGAGGGGACGGGTAAGTCCCCAGGCGGACGCGTCCGCAGACTGTCCTAGCCCTCCCTCAGAGCGCCTCGCCCACCACGCCGCCTTCTGTTTCCGCAGGGTCCACGGAGCCAGCCTGGCCCAGCCTCCATCCTTACAGCCATGGAGGCCCTGGGTCCTGGGGGCGAGCGCGCCTCCCCTGCCGCCTGCCCTGGAAGCCCAGACTTGGGGCCGCCGTCCACGCGCGCCGACTCGGCCTACAGCTCCTTCTCAGGCGGCCCTGAGCCGCGCGCCCCATCGCCTGCGGCCGTCCTGCCTCACCTGGACGGGGACTACGTGCGCGCGGTGTGGGGCGGCCCGGGGCCCGCTCCGCCCGACGCCACCCAGAGCGCAGCCCAGCGGCCCGGGCCAGCGGTCGCCGCGCACAGTGGGCTCCAGGGGGCCCCGGGGCGGCTCAGCAGACAGGCCACCCCGCTGCTCTACGCGCTGGCCGCCGAGGCCGAAGCCGGGGTGCGGGCTGCCGAGCCCCCAAGCCCGCCGGCCTCGCGGGCCGCCTACCGCCAGCGGCTGCGGGGCGCGCAGCGCAGGGTGCTCCGGGAGACGTCCTTCCAGCGCAGGGAGCTCCGCGTGAGCCTGCCCGCCCGCCTGCGGCCCGCGGCCCCGGCGCACCTGCCCCCGGCGCACCCGCGCTCCTCCTCGCTCAGCCACCCGGGCGGGGACTGCCGGGCCCCCGCGCCGGGAACCGCGGGCCAGGGCCGCCTCGCCAGCCAGCAGCGGAAGTGGTGCTTCTCGGAGCCGGGGAAGCTGGATCGCGTGGGTCGGGGCTGTGGGCCGGCCGGGGAAGGCTTGAGCGAGACCTGCTTCAGCCCGGGCCTCGCCGGGCCTGAGCCCCAAGAACTGCCGCGGGCGGCGGGGGCTGCGTTCCAAGGGCTGCCGAGAACCCAACACCAGAGCACAGCAGAGCTGGACTCTGGGTCCGCGAAGCTCGGCGGTGCCAGTGCCCCGCGGCCTGGCAGTCGGCGGCAGAGCGCTTCGGGCGAGGTGCTGGGTCCCTGCACAGGCCCAGGAGGGGTCGTGGCCCTTGTGCAGGTGGGAAGATAGAGGGCCGGGCTGGTGGCGGAGGGAAGCACGCACGATGGCTGCGTTTCATCTGCTGTTGGCTCTTCTAGGCTGTTCCTCCAGGTCCGGAAAGCCCCAGACCACTGTTTCAAACCACGTTTTCCAGGTGAGCAACATGGGTCACTCTGGACAAAGTTGTGGGGAGGCAGCTTTCACAACTCTTGCTCAAGAAGGGAGCCTGGGCCCCCCACCTGCCCTCAGTCTCAGCCTTCTGCCTTTTGCAAACTGCTTGCCCAGCTGTTTCCCCGGTGCAGCGAGAGGAACCCCCTTTGATGTCGCTGTGTGGTCCCCGCCTGCAGGTTCTTGCCTCAGAAGGAGGCTGTCCTGGTGTGTCCGGCAGCGGGCCCTCGGAGCAGCCTGGCCGACTGTGAAGAGAGGCTTGCAGAGACCTGCACAGAGCCTGCCCGGCTGCCCTCCCTTCCTGATGATGAAGTGTTCCTAGAAGAAGCCCCTCTGAATAGGCTGAGATTGCCCCAGGGAGCCCCAGCCAGGTGAATTCCTTCTTCTCTGAGCAAAGTGAGACACTCCCCTCACACCTGCATGTCTGGAAAGGGCGGGCCGGGCAGAGAACCTCTCCTAGAAGGACCCCTGTGGCATGGGGTGGGGTGGGGGGTAGGAGCAGGCTGCTCAGGAAGGGCCCACTCGTCTGTGGCCCAGTCTTTTCTGATTCACTGTCTCTTCTGCTTCCAGTGTCCATGCCTCTGACCAGAATTCTGGAACTGGCTTGGGCCAGGCTACAGACCCCCCCAAATATCCCTTCCATGAGTGTCCAAGGACTGCAGGGGCAGAGGATTACTGGCAAGGGATGAATGGCTCTGTGGCTGTCTCCAGGCCCACAAGCTGTAGCTCCCCTGGGACTCCAAACGGGGACATCCCACCCACTGACTCCACTGCACTGCTGACCCCCGACACCCCTCCAGCGGCAGAAAGTGACCCTCTCAAGCCTCCCCTAGTTGATGTCCTGGGTCCTTCGGGCAGTGCTACTGCAGGACCCCAGAACCACACTTCCCTGGGCTGGGGCACTGGCCAGTTGGGTTCCCGACCAACATGGCCCAGCCAGCGTCTTGAGGAGCTGGTTCAGGAGCTAGCCAGACTGGACCCCTCCCTGAGTGACACTCTTGCCTCTGAGCCCAGCCCAGAGCCGCCCCCGGGCCTGCTGGATGGACTGATTCCTCTAACAGAGGCCCAGGCCACAGTGTGGCCAGCCTTTAGGGAGCCAGGAGAGGAGGTCGCAAGTACTTCTGAGCCAGGGTGAGTGAGAGCACCAGGGACTCAGGATTCGGCTCCTCTGGAGTCTGGGGCAGGGCAACCCAGGAAGCTGTGGCTTTGTCCTCAGGTCCTGTCTGTTCAGCTTTACCCAGCTGCTACCAGCTTCTCAGGAGACAAGGCCAGAAAACGCTACCCTCCTACCTGTGCCCAACCAGCCATGTGGCCAGGGGCTCCCAGCACAAAACGTCAGCATCCAGGTCAAGAAAGTGAGCTCAGGGAGGGCTGGTCAAGGCTGGGCAGGGCAAGCCCTGACGTCTGGGTGGAGAGACCCAGGCTCCCTTGAATACCCAGCCCTCACCTCCTACAGGTGGAGCTAGCAGGCCTCCTCCAAAAGATGCTGCAGGACCTCCACGCCAGGCAGGAGCAGCTGCAGGGCGTGGCTCAAGCGTGGGCCAGGCGCAGGGCAGCTCTGGAGGCAGCGGTGGCTCAGGCCTGTGCACCCAGGGAGCTGGAGCGGTTCAGCCGGTTCATGGCCGACCTAGAACGCGTGCTTGGCCTCCTGCTACTGCTAGGCAGTCGGCTGGCCCGCGTGCACCGCGCCTTGGCCCGGGTGGGCTCAGACGGCGACCCTGAGGAGCGGGTAAAGCGGGTTCCAGTCAGGGTTGGTGGAGAGCCGGTCGGGGGAGGGGCTGCAGTTTCCGGCTGGCAGCATCCTGGCAGCCGCGCTCACAGCGCCCTCTCCCTGCGGCTCCAGGCCTCTCTGCTGCAGCGACTCGGCCTTCTTCGGCGACAGCAGGAGGATGCCAGGGAGTTGAAGGAGCACGTGTCGCGGCGCGAGCGGGCCCTGCGCGAGGTGCTGGCGCGAGCTCTGCCGGCGGAGGAGGTGCGCGCCTACTGCACGCTGCTGGCTGACAAGGCCGCGGTCCTGGCCCAGCAGCGCAGCCTGGACGAGCGAGTCCGGCTCCTGCAGGACCAACTGGACGCTGTCAGGAGTGACCTTTCTCCCAGGCCATCCCGGCCCCCGAGGACCTGTCCTCCGGATAAACAGCCATTCCCTCCTCCCCCTGTTTAGTTCCAGGCATCGGGGTGGGGAGCATTCCCCACCCCATCTGGGGCGATGCTGAGCAGGGAGGACCCAGGCCCAGCTGGCCTCCAGGAGAATCCTTCCCACTGTTCCAGGTGACCTTTCCCAAGTCTTGTGGGTTACCTGGGAATGACTTAGGGTCTTAAAACCTGCAGTATTGGGCTGGGGATTTAGCTCAGTGGTTCTGGCGCCTGCCTCCCAAGCGCAAGGACCGGAGTTCCATCCCTGGTACCAAAAAAAAAAAACAAAAAAAAACCCCTGCAGTATTCCTTCCCCCTTTCTGTGGTGAGAGAGGACCCCTGTAAGGGTTGGTTGGAGGGAAGAGAGACAAGTCAGAGGAGCAAAACAGCCTTTTATTTTTTTCAATAAAAATTTCCCAGGGGTGTGTGTGTGTGTGTGTGTGTGTGTGTGTGTGTGTCTCCTGCGCACAGATGGGGGGAAAGGGGAGGGGTCTTTCTACAAACTGCACACCAGTCCAGAGCAGGAGAGGGACCTGGCAGATCATCAGTCGGGTCTGGCAACGTAGAGAAGACTGAAGAACCAGGCTGGAAAACAGCAGGGACCAGGTAGAAACTGGGCCCTCAACTCCATGTCATTGTGTCCCTACCACAAAACCTGGCTCTGACTGGCTGAGTCCAGGTATCTTCAGCTGGTTTTAACCAAACCCCCAACTTTGGCAGCAGGAATACTGCCTCCTTCCTTTCACAACTCAAGTGATAGAGACCCACACACACACTGAAAATGGATGCAGATGCTTTGCTGCCTACAAACCTCAGCAGATGTCCAGTACACTTGGACATTTGGGGACATTCATTCCAAGACTCAGAAGCAACTTTCTTCCTCTTCCGTTATGTTATCAATATTGAAGTAGAGCCTAGTCCCAGCACAGGGGAGGCTGAGATAGGATTTGCTTGAGACCATGAGTTCAAGACCAGCTTGGCCAACATAGCAAGACTGCATAATAATGGTGCATACCTATAATCTCAGCTACTTGGGAGGCTGGGGCAGAAGGATCTCAAGTTAAAGCCCTTAGAAACATTTAAAGGGGGTGGTACTTGGGATGTAGCTTGGTGGTAAAGCACTTGCCTAGCAGGAAGGACCTGAGTTTGATCCCCAATACGGCAAAAAAGAAACAAGCAAGCAAAAACAAAACTGAGCTCACCTAGCTCTCTGCCCACCCCATCAGGGAGGCCTGAGTAGGGAACCTGAGGGTGGAAGCTGAAGGAGAGAGGTAGGGCCCCTGAAGACCTTGCATACAGGGGCAGAGAGCCTAGACGGGCAGCTTCTGGTGTACCTGAAAGGCTGATCCCAGGATGGGCTGAGGCGGTGTGAAACACAAGGCAGACCCCATTTGTGCATCAGCCCTGTGTGCAAGGATCAGGTTCAAAGAGAAAACTGTGGAAATGTGCTTCGGTAATATAGCTGCAAACACCAGAATAAGAACATCGTTATGCTAAGGTTCAGGATATTTTTGGAAGTTGGGCAGATTAAAAGGCATGTGTCTGTGTATTTAAAACCAACTGACCCCCAAGTGAGAAATTTCTGCTCCTGGGCTTGTTTTCTGATGTGTATTGTCACAAAGTGCATAGGGTTGGGAACTGTAAATGGTCGTATTCATACCAAAAGCATTAGTTAAAACAGTCGCGCTATTGAGCACAGAACAATGCTCACACTGTGCCTTTTTATAAAAAGCATATGGGACTCCTGCAGAGGCCATTGCGGGTTCTAACATTATGCTTTGCTCCTCTCCCTTGAACACTGTGGGCGGGGCCTCCTGTCCAGGGGCCTCGGCCCAGCGGGCTCGCTCCGAGGCGCTCGGGATGGAAGCTGCTGAGCTGATTTCTGCCTTTGGCCCTGCACGGTCCCCTTTGCATTCGCCCGTTAAATACTCCTAGAAACACATTAACGCCCTCTATTAAGCCAGTGGGGACTGTGCGTTTCAAACAAAAGTACTCCCAGCCTGGGTTGGGCGGGGGGAGCTTGGGGGTCGGGAGAGGGGCGTCTGTCTTCTGGTGGAACTGAACTCCGGTTTTGTACTGGGTTTTCGCTCGCAGAAGTAAATATGAGGGTTGTGTGCGCCACCCCGCCAGACCCAAAAGTAGGACCACGCTTCCCGCGCCGGCCCTTCCGTCTGGCCTGCTCCTGCCGCCCCGGTTCTCCCCCTGCCACACCGTTATTCCTTCAGAGGGCAGGAATGAGCTCACCACAGATGTTCTTTATTGGCGCCCAGGGCCTAGAGAAGGGGCTGAAACCGGGTGAGCGGGCCTGCGGGAGGCAGCCAGCAGGGGGCGCTGCTCTCCTACAGCGATCCTGCACCTCCCCCGCCGGCGCCCTCGGGGCTCGGCCCGGGCCTTTGCGGGATCCTGAGCCTGGGATGCTGCGTCTGAAGGCTGGAGCTGAGCCTGTTGCTTGGTCTGCGGCTCCCGTTCCTTTGCACCAGGCCTTCGTGGGGGAACTGTCAGCTGCGAAGTGCGGAGGAGGGGAGCGGGGGTCTCTCGAAGAGGTTCGCCTCGTTTCCCAGGGTGGAAAAGAGGGTGGCTTGGGGCCCTGCCCGCGCTTCTGCCCCTTCCTTCAGCCGCCTGCGCCCTCGTATCCTCGGCGCACCCGCGACCCCGGCTGCACCCGCTGCGCGCTCAGGCTCTGGGGAGGTTTGGCGTCGCCTGGGATTGTTGCCGGGCAACAAGCAGCTGGCTGCAGCCTCTGCGCCCGCCCCGCCCCCGCCGCTCCTCGGCGCGCAGCCGTGAGCAGCGGGTTCTCTGCCTGCCGACGGGGATGTGACCGGCTCCGCACGGAGCGCAGCGCCCCGCGCCACCTCGAGTCCCGGAAGAGAACCGCCGAGCTGCCCATTCAGATGCCAATCAGAAGCCGAGGAGGAAATTTAAGTCGCTGGCAGCTGAGCCTCGCGGAGAGCGGTGCCAGCGAAGCCTGGGGTCGTGGGGAGGCGAGGGGGGCGCTTGCTGTAAAGAAATCCTCAGGCGCGGCGTTACTGCCTCAGCCCGGTGCAGCCGGTGTTCGCCGCCCGCGTTCCTCGCTTGGCTCCGGTATTTAAATCAGCACGTCTTGCCCACTGAGAAGGACTTTTCCCTGGGTGGGAGATCTGGCCGGTAGGCTCAGCCCAGGTCGCCCTCTTCACGGGCTCAGGTCGGGAGGCGTGGCAGCCCCCGCGCGAGAGGCCAGTGCCAGGCAAAAGGCTATGTGGAGAGCCACAGAGGACGTGTGCACACGGTTCACGGAGACCAAGATTCTTCCAGGAAAAGACAGAGGGGGAGGAGGAGGAAGAGAGAGGTAGAATGTGGGCCCTGGGTGGGCACAGCATTGTAACTGCACATGGAGGGGTGATTTCCGCCCCTCTGAATGAATAGCAGCGCTTTAGGCCTACAAGATTGGGTATGGATGCTAGAGGCATGTAGGTTAAGAAAAACATTGTTGCTTCTGTTTTAGTTAACGTGATGTCACGCACAGAACAGGGGATAATTTCCCTTTTGTGGGAATACATTTTTCCTAGTACAGTCAATTGCTCACTTATGAATATAATAATATGGTAAAAGAATGATGATCGTGTTAGGCAAATCCACAAATCAGTCTTATATCCTTTTGGAATGCAGCTCGATGCCCCTGTGGAGGGGAATATCTTGGATGGGCCTTGCAGTTCAGGGAGAGCCTGATCCCTCCCCACAGCCCTCAGGATGGGTTCTTGTAGTCCCCTAGAGGAGAGAGCTTGGAGAATCGGGCAACTTGCCCAAGGTCACTAACTCTAAAGGGCTTCTGTGACATCACCTGTTTCCAGAGCTCAACGGAAAAGAGCAGCAGGACCCTTCTCAACTCGGCCACTGACACCCACTGGTGTGAGGCGGGGACAGATTACTTACTACTCATCTAGGCTTTAGCTTCCTCACTTTAAAATCAAGTTACAATCAAGATACAGTGGCCCCTCAAGTTACAACGGGCCTGACATAGGAACTTGGGTTAATTAGGTTAATGGAAGATTCATCTGCCTCTTGTTATCTATACCGTGTACCCAGGTAAACATCTAAATCTCAGCTGTACTGACTTAGTTACAACTAGCCCTCAGGAATGAGTTCCTAAGGGTCCACTGTGCTAAGAGTACATACTTTGTAAAAATTGATTAATTGCAAAGTTTAAAAATTCTGCCTGGCACTTAATAAGCACAATGTATATATAATCTCCCATGCTCAGAATCTCCATTAGGTGAGTCTTGCTCAATAATAGCTCCACCCACCACTAAAAGAAATGTAAAATTTAAAAGTTTGCTGAGGCTGACTCATACATATCTACAACAATTAACTTCTCATTAAAAGGGAGTTGTTTTCCCTGTGACAATTCTTACCTAAATTGCCTTAACATTTTTTTTGTCGGTTGAGAATACCCTTCTGCAGGTGTGCTTACTGCTGGATTTTTTTTTTTTTTTTTTTTTTTTGTAATTAAACATATGGGGGCCGGGGATTTAGCTCAGTGGCACCACGCCTGCCTCGGAAGAGTTCTAGCCTAGTACCAAAAAAAAAAATATATATATATATATATATATATATACACACACACACACACACACACACACACACACACACACGGTTCTTGAAAACTATCCATGTGTGTACCAGCCCTGATTTCCTACTGACTACCTACTAACTACCTTATAGTTTTAGAAAGAGTTGGCCTGTGAAGAAATAGCAGTGGTTTTAACGCCTGAATTTTAGGCTTATAGATCCTAAATTCTTGCCAAATATTTTGTTTCACTTGGAGACTTACAGGAGTAAGAGACCCTTCAGAAACAAAGATTCTTCTGGTTGTTTGAATGAGCCTCCTTTCATGTAAGTGCAATAAATGTTAGTTACTGCTACATTTTTTGTTTTGTTTTGGGTTTTTTTGGTACCAGAGATCGAACTTAGGACGTTGCACTTGTGAGGCAGGCGGTGGAACCACTGAGGTAAATCCGCAGCCCTATTTTGTTTAGATTGTGTCTTTCTCAAGCAAGTCGTGTCTATGTCTGTGACCCTTCTTACTCTGTCAGGCCTCACCCTTATCATAGAAACTCTTCAATACTGCATTCTGGCAGCTAGATCTTCAGCTGCTCAAATTGCTGTAATTATTGCCTCCCACAATTTTTCTGCAGAGGCAAAAGATTTAATTTGCATTTTGAAGTAATTCATGGAAACTAGCCAGAGTTCCAGGCAAGGAAGACTAAGAAGGGTCAGATCTGGGCCTACTCTTATCCATAGTTCTTGGCTACGATCAGTATTTGGTTGACTCTTATTTGTAGAGAAATCCAAACTCTTTAAATAATAGAATGCTTGAAATATGCAGAATGAGGAGGAAAGGAAAAAATTAAGTAGGTAAAAGGAAAAAAATACAAAAATCAAAGGATGTTTAAGGGAATTACATCTCACTTGCAGGAGTAAATTGGGGGACTGTTTATTTCATTGTTTATATCAAACATTCCATGAATGATTGCTTTTGTAATTTCAAATGCCTCACTGATATATATTTGGGGGAATAGGGAAGCCCCATTACCTTGTACTATAAAAGCCATTTGATATAGCTAACCACATGCAAACGTAATTTGCAAAAGCAGAATGTTAAAAAGTTGGTTGACCACATAGGCTTTACATCTTTAAAAAAGAAAAAGTGCCATTTAAATTGGACTGTGCCGAACCTGGGACATCTTGGCAATATCTACAAGCATTCTCAATTTACAGACAGGAACAAAGGGCCAGAGACAATAAGCCACCCATCCAAGGTCACTTAAAGACACTTCATTTGGTATTTTAGAATAAACCATCTGCTTCAAATTTTTTTTTTTTTTGGTACCAGGGATCGAACTTGGGTCCTTGTGCTTGCTGCAGCAGGCAGAGAAACCACTGAGCTAAATCCCCGGCCCTTGCTTCAAATGTTTTTAAAAATGTATTATCATGCATTTTTATTTGTTGAGAACTTTCCTATAAGAGTTGTTCTGTAATTGTATCAATTACTATTTAATCACTTTTTTCCAGTGTAATGCTGACTTTTTTTTCTTTGAATATTTACCCATTGTACTGCATGGCTCAGCCAAATGTAAAAACCACAGATTCAGAAACATGGCACAAAGGTCCAATTCACAAATAAATCACAATTTTAAAAAATTAAATATTCATGCCATATCAAAATAGCCACCTAGTAATGCCAAACACACATTGACATTTCACCATAGTTTAAAAGTATTTGCCAAAATATCTCCTCTGTCAAATCACTTTCACTCCCAAGATGCTCGTTTCCTAATAGTAACAGTACAAGTGAAAGTAGTTACATTCAGGAGGGTCACACTGATTTCTCTGTGTTCAAGACTCTCCAGAAACTTTTTGTTTTTACTTTTTCAGACAGGGTCTCTCTTTGTAGTTCAGGCTGGCCCTGAACTCAGTATGTAGCCCAGTCTGGCCTCGAACTCGTAGCGATCCTCCTGCCTCAGCCTCCCGAGGGCTGGGATTACGGGTGTATGCCACCATGCCCTGGCTACCAGAATCTTGAGTGCCTAAAATGAGGTAGGTAAACTTTTTTAAAGTTTTGTTGTTGGGACTAATTTTCTTTAGACTTGATCATCTATTTTTTAATAGGATTCTAAAATATTTACCAAAAGGTTGAAAATGTCTGAGCATTTTGCCTAAAAATGGAAAAATATAAATTTTAAAGGTTATTATGAAAGTTGCTTTACCTCATTTCAATTTAAAAACAGAATAAAAGCGTCAAATTACAAAACTACCAGGTATCTTGAAGCTGACCACCCAATATTAGAACAATTCGGGGACCCTTGCTCCACTTCCGGCTTGCGAGTGTGTAGGTGAAGAGGCCTCTGGTTAAGCGTTCGGGCCCAGACCAGCTGCTGCCCCTTAACCTTTGACCCTAAATTTCAAGCCTCCTCCGCTGTTCAGGCCTGATTCGGGGTTTCTCCGCAGAAGCCTCTCACCCGAGATCCACAACCCCACCCCTGGAGACAGATAGAGCTTCAGAGGAGGGGCAGAGGAGCAGGCCCATGAGAGGAGGAGGGTGGAAACAGGACGGGCCTGCAGGTGTCACGCCCAGGCCTAGACCACAGCGGGCAGGCCTATTAGATCAAAGAGGCCATAACCCCAGGGGCCTTCAGGTTGTAGGGGGCAGACTGGACATTAAGCCAGCTAACGGCCCCGCGGCGGGTCGGCGAGAGCTTTCTGGGAAGGCTGGCAGGCCACCGCGGACCCTGGTCTTCTTACGCGGAGCCATGGGGGAGGCGCCCAACAGCCGGCTGAAGGAGCTCGACTTCTTCAAGCCGCGCCCCAGGTCCTGGAGCATCAGGTCGTCAGCCAGGACCCCCAGGAACGCGCTGGTGGTGGAGCTGAGGATGGTGGCGGCCACCTGCACCGGGTGGCGCGCCGCGAGGCTACCAGGCCCACCGCCGGCCGTGTCTGGCTCCATTACACCTCGCAGGCCCGGGTCTCCGAGGAGGCGGCGCAGCGCGTAGGAGGAGCCGGGCCGCAGGTACTGGTAGGCCCGGCGGCCGCTGTGGTCGCGGACGTGCACCTGGGCCCCCAGGCGCACCACCAGCAGCACCGCGGCATCCTCGTGGCCGTGCAGCGCAGCCAGGTGCAGCGGCGTGTAGCCGCCGTGCGAGCGCGCGTTCACGTCCACCGGCGCGCCACCGCGCCGCGCCACCTCCACCAGCTGCAGGGCCATCTCGCGGTCGCCGCTCTTGGCAGCCCAGTGCAGGGCCGTGAAGCCAGACATGAAATCGCGCTTGGCCGCCAGGCCGCGGTCCCGCAGCAGCAGCCCGTGCAGCTGGCGGGACCACCGGCCGCCGGCCGCGCGCACCAGCCACTCGTGCTCAGCGGGCTCCAGGGGCACGGCGGGCGGCGGTGGTGCGGCGGGCGCCTCCTCGGCGTCGGGGCTCAGCAGGCGCGGCCCGGCGCGCGACAGGCGCCTCAGGTGCGGGGAGCGGCCGGCGCCCAGGCCCGGCTCCTCCACGGACAGCCGCCTCCGGAACATCGGGGAGCTTCTCGGGCTCGGCTCCTCCGACAGCTGCCGACGCAGGCCTTGCTCCTCGGCGCGGACCCGCAGCGCCGCGGCCACCGGCACGCAGCGCACCGGCAGCATGCAGGGCTTCGGGGGCGCCGCTGCCTCTGGCGACGGCGCGCGGGCTTCTGGGGCGACATCCCCGGGGCCCCCCTCCGAGGGCTGGGCGGGCGCACAGGCTGGAGCCCCGGTGACGCCAGGGGCCCCGAACTGCTGGGCCGAGCCCACCAGCGCCTCGGTGGGCCGGGCGGGCTCAGAGGCTGGAGCCCCCGGGGTGTCCTGTGGCCCGGACAGCGGGCTCGGCTGCTCCGGAGGCGCCACTTGCTGCTGCGCCGGGGCCAACGGTGCGTCTCCTGGGGAGACGGACTCGGCCTTCGACGGCGGGGCAGGCGCCGCGGGGAGGCCAGGCAGCCACAGCGCTGGGCCATCGGCGCGCCGAGGCTTCTTCCGCAGCACCACGAACTTGACGCCGTCGAGCTCCTGCACCACCGCCACGTCGCGGACGAACTGCTTGAAGCGGTCCCGGCGGGCGGCGCGGCCGCGCGGGTCTCCGGCGTCCAGCAGCGGCTTGAAGCGGCCGAGCAGCTCAGAGTTGCGCACCTTCCCTCCGCGGTCCTGCAGGAAGCCGAGCACCGCCGCCTGGCTCACCCCGGCGGCCGCGGCGGCGGCGGCTGCGGCCAGCGCCATGCTGCCCCCGCTCGGCTCGGCTCCGCTCGCCCGGGCCGCTGCGATCGGGGTCCGCAAGGGACGTCCGCCCTGCCGAGCCCGCCGGGGGCCCCGAAACCGGACCTCGGTCACGCCCGCGCCGCACAGCCGGGATGGAGCCCGGCAGAGAGCGCTGGGGGCTCGTCCGGCCCTGGGCCCAGGCTTCTGCCTTTCCGCTCGGTGCAGTGGGCGCCGGGCGCCATCCCGTGCGCGGAGCTCCGGTGCAGGTGACGGCAGCCACCGGCGGGGGAGGCACAGGGAGCGGAAATTCGCCGCCGCCCCCCACCCCGGTCCCGGAATTAAAGGCGCAGCGCGGCTCCTAGGCTCTGCCCACCGCCGTTGCTAGGTGGGTGTGTTCCCTAGGGATGCCGCAGTGGATCGGCGGTGGATCCTGAGGCTCGGGTGTTTTTCCCTTTAAGCAATATCTAACTACCACAAAAGAAAACTGGTAATTTTTTGAAAGACCACCAATATGCAGTTTTTAATTACATGTCCTGCTGGAGAACCGCTTCGCGCAATTCACAGCAAAAACAATTCTCTCTGCGTGGCAGTGTATGTTGCGCAAGTTACATTTTAAAGAACAGACCCTTTTAAAAGCAATTTTCTCATGATAAAATAATGTTTTCACTAGACTTTTGGGAGTAAAACATCAGGAAAACATAAAGGAGGAAAAAAATATCACTTGAAATCACCAGTAACATTTAAAAATATCTCCATCGTGTGCTTGTGTGTGTGTGTATATATATATATATATATATATACTTTAAAATAAAAAAGGGTCGGGAATGTAGGTCAGCGGCGCTACACCTACCTGGCAAGTGCAAGGTCCTGAGTTCGATTCCCAGTACTGAAATATATATATATAAAATAAAAAAGCAAAGTTGGAATCAGCTGTGGTCCTAGTTATCAAGTTCAGGGCCTCACACATGCTACGCAAGCGCTCTACCCCTGAGCTACACCCCCAGCCCATGGGATGTTTCTTTGTGTGTGTTGTTTTTTGTTTTGTTTGGTACGGGATTGGCTATACCTTAAGCAAGTTGCTTGAGTGCTCTTGGGGCCTCAGTTTTCACGTCTGTGAAGGGCAGGGCACGTGTAAATAGTGCTACTAACTCAGGCTGTTGTGAGCCACTCAGAACAATGCCTCACAGTACTGTGTTCAAATCAGTAATACAGCAGGGGTTTAGGAAGAGCCTGGGAGCGGTGCCAAGGGTGATGGTTCTGGAGCAGGGCAGAGATGAATGCCAAAGATTTCAGAAGCAGACTTGCACTGTAGTGTGTACATTTTGTAAAGTCACTATCTGTGGTGATTTTTATTTCAATAGGGACATATTATATTTTACTTTCTTGACGTTTTCGTGGCACATCGCTATGGCCCTTGAAGGCTCTTCCATGATCTCATGGGTAGTTGAGCCTCAGTCAGTCTGACTGCCCGCTCTCTCCAGGGTAAGGAGAGGGAGGGCTCCTCTCCAAAGCCCCTCACTGGTTATGTGGTTGGAACTCATTGTGACTAGGATCACCAAGAATAGATGGGAATCAATGCTGATTAAACAGGATCTGCTGGTCCAAGCAAAGTTTATTGACGATGCTGAGTAGGCTTCAGGCTTCCAGCCATACAAACTAACTGGCCCCAGGCCACGGTTGATAGTTGGCTGAAGCCAAACTGGAGCCCTAGGCTGTCTGCAAGGACTCATTTATCATGAAAAGTTAGATCATCAATTATTTAGTATCAGTGTTCCAAATGTCTAATAGAGAAAATTCGTAAGAGTGTAGCTTATAAACCTTTTGCCCGTGCATTTGAACATACTCAGCTTTGATATTTTAAATGATTAGCTTCTAGTTTGAGCAAACATTGGGGTGAGGTTGCCAATGACATCCAGTTCCCCAAGCTGCTTTTTAATTTTGGTGCCCTATTGCCAGTGAGGTTACAGAATCAATTCTTCCATTGACCCAGGAGTTTGCCCATAACATTAGGAAAATCAAATATAAGATGTGTACTTATAGCAAGGATAAAATTCCATCATGCGTCTTGAATGTGAAGAAGGCAATAGAACAGCAACTTGCTTTTAACCCAGTGTCTTACATTGGAGGTCAAGGTAGAAGGCACTTTGCAGTTGCTCAAAGCCACATTATTAAATAAATGTAAATTTAAAGAACTCTGTAATAACGTTCTATAATATTATGTTACCTGTTTCCACCCATGCTGCTTTCTGAACTCCATACTTAGGCCCCGCTGAAAGCCACGGTGGAGGTTTGATGTCGGTGACTGTCTCGTCCCCTTCTGCCCTCTCGTGTCCCCATGTCAAGTCAAGGCATCAGCCTGGTGAAGAAGAAGAACTTCTCAGGCCCCATGAGGCAGGAGCTCCAGGCATGTGAGGGTCTGGGCTGCCCAGCAATGGTACTGCCAAGGGACTTTGCCCAGATAGTAAGCTTTTCTAGTCGTGATTTCCTCCCAGAACAAATCAGATTCTGTTCTTGCTCACCAGCCCAGGGGAAGAAAGAGGGGCCTCTCCTTTCTCATGCGTGCAACTTATGAAGCCCAGTCCTCTCCATGGTCAGAGGGACTTTATTTTTAAATCTTAGCGACCAATGTCAGATCATGTGGCTCTATAGTAAACTGAGTTTTTGTGTCTCTGATTCATTTGTGAGGCTGCTTCTCTGACTGTTCAGGCTGTTGCTCGGTTGCTAGGAAGGGACCCAGCAGGCCTGGCCCATGGAGATTTGGAGAGCCGTTCCTGGCTCGGAGATCTCCCGTGGTGTTTGTCCTTTGCCACCCTTCTCAGGCCTGTTTTATTCTAATAAGCAAGTTTTAATTGAAAAGGTTCTACCCACCCTACCTTCCCAATGAGGAAGGACCCTTCTGGGGCTCAGTTTTTCTTTCAGGTGGATCAGCATCTGCATTAGGAAGGGCCTTGGTCGAGAGGCCTGCGAAGTACTGTTGAACTGTGTCCCTGAGTGGAGCCCCTGCTTGGCCAGAGTGGAGGAATCTGCAACTCAGGCCAGACTTCCATCCCACCATGGTCAACCTATCCAGATGGCCTTGGAGATCAGGGCCCCCAACTTTGGAAACACGAAACCTACCAAAAGCATTCCACCTTGCCAGAAAGTGGTCCTGGCTTTAAAGATAGAGCTGTGGAAATAACCAGTCCCTAACTGGCCTTCAGCCTAGCAGCTTGGTTGAGTAGAAAGAATTCGGAGACATCTTCTTATCCAGCTGCCTATTCAGTAATTCTAAGAGCTTGTTAACAGACAGCCTGAAATAAAATGGTCTGGTGTAAGTTGTAGTGAGAGACTGAAAGTCAGGAGTTGGCTGAGATCTCCTTGTCAGAGAGCAGTGTTTGAGGGAGGGGCCACACTGGGGTCTGAGTGGCAGTGGGGTGGCCAGGAAGACAAGGGTCCAGTTCCAGGCCCTCAGAAGACCTGCTTGCTGGCCACTTTGAGATCATCAGCGAAGTAGATATTGAACAGTTTTATTAACAGCCCTCAGCGTAGTAGCTTGTGACATTGAACAGTGAGGAAGAAAGGGAGGTGAGCTCTCCCTGCGAGGCCATGTGGCCTGGAGGTGAAGTCCTCATTGCTGCTGGCCTCGCCTAACAAAGCACTGGTGACTCACTGTGGTGCTGAGTGAATCTAGGTCTCTTCAGCTGCTGTTTCCATGCTGGCTCAGGCTCCCAGGATCAAGATCCCGTGTCCTCATCAGTTGGGGATAGAGCAGTTACTTGGTAAATACATAATGATGAAATGACAGTTTGTCACTTTACATTGCCTATTATCACTTTGACCTGTCTCTTGAAGTGTGGGGTCAGAGGCCGTCTCTACCCCTTGCTGTGGCTTAGCCACGCTTCCCATGGTTCATTCTCCAGGCTGCTGTGCTGGAAGCTCGGTCCCCAGAGTGGCAGTGTTGAGGGGTAGTGGAACCTTTAAGAGGGGCAGCCTAGGGAGAGCCATTTTGGGTCCTGGGGGGAACCACACTCGAAAGGAATTAACCCTCTTTTCAAGGGAGCAGGTTAGCTCTTTCAGGCCTGGATCAGTTTCCATGGGGGTGGATTCTTATACAGCAAGAGCATCACAGCAGCCAGGCACATTGGCACAGGCCTGTAATCCCACTGAAGGGAGCTGAGGCAGGAGGATTGCAAGTTCAAGACCCAACAGGGCAATTTAGTGAGAGTTTGTCTCAAAATTTAAAAAATGAAGGGCTGAGGATGCAGCTCAGTGGTAGAGTGCCCCTGGGTTTGATCCCTGTACCACACGCACATGCCGAGGCCCGGGTTCAGTCCCTGCAGCACGCACACACACAGAGTGAGGCCACCCCACATGCTTGTTCTCTTTCAAACATACTGTACCTGTTCCCCTTTTCCTTCTTTACCATATTGTGAGAGCCAGGAAGCCCTTTCCAGATGCCAGCACAATACTGTCTGGACCTTCCAGCCACCAGAATCATGAGCCAAATAAACCCCTCTAGTTTATAAAATATCCAATCTCAAGTGTTTTTTGGTAGCAGCAGAACCAGATGAAGATATACCTTACGTGCAGTAACTATTGATCAAACAGTAACAATTTGTCACATGGTAGCGACTCATCATTCTGATTCTTCTATTTCAAAGTGGGGTCACAGGCTACTGGCTACATACTTGACTTTCACCCTGGGTTAAGAGTCAGTGAGCAACTCATATGTTACAATGGATTAAGTTGTTTGTGTTCCATGATTTTAGGAACTAGGAGTAGAGTGTAGAGAAGGATGCTTTTCTGGGACTTTTATAAATGTAAACTGCTGGTTACCTCCTCACATGTTGATGGGAAGGATGTGAAGACAGCATGGTTTACAGCACAAAAATCCACATTAACGCACACTGCAGGGCTTCAATTCCAGGTAGAATGGCTGGAGCCAGATCAAGGAACAAAAACTACAGATGGTGGGTCGGGGGGTTAGCTCAGTGGCACCACGTCTGCCTCGCAAGCACAAGGTCCTGAGTTCGGTCCCAGGAAAGGAAGAGCTCTCCTTGCCCCATGTGGTCTCTGACACAGCAGCCCTTGAGAGTTTCTCTCAGTGCAAGGAGGCTGG